TCTACTAGATTTAATGTCAAGGGGAAACATTTACCTATACCTATATATAATGGGCTTTGAGCTTCCATGAATTTGGATATCCAAAGGAGGTTCTGGAATAAAAGCCCAGCAGACACTGAGGGCCCATTTGGTGCACAATCCTGTACAATCCGTTACACCTGCACAATCTGTTTTCAAAGGGAAATGTGGGTGCTTTCTGAGGGAGGAGGCTTGTCTTTATTGTTACACGACCAAAGGACAATAGTATTGGAGCAATATTGACAGCAAAGTGGTAGTAGGGTATTTTCCTTATGTCTGAGGATCAAGAGGGACAATGTAGCCCCCTGCCATGTTGCACACTCTTTTAAATCTTTGCCATGTTAATTGGAGAAAATCTTTCTAGAAGCAACTATAGTAACTTTGAAATGCTACCAGGGACTCACAGGCAGGCTGTTTCCTCATCCCTTCAGAATGGCTTGATGGGATCATTTCCTCACCAGACAGTATATCTAGTGTCACTAATGATTCAAACAGCAAGTTAGCAACAAATCATGTTGCTAACTTGTAGTCCAAACCTCAAATACGCATCAAAAAGTAACCAAGATACTGTGCACAGTTTTCATGCATTTTGATAGCTTCCATCCCAGTGTGTCAGACAGCATCCCACAAAGATCTCAAGAAAAGTTATGTATATATTTCGGTCTTATCGGTGGTCATTTCTTGAATTTACTCCTGCACCTAGATTCTGGTTTCATGGCTAAAACATTCTAAACAGTTTTTGCTGGTCTAGCCTAAACCAACACCAGGATATATAGGAAGTGCTGGGACATTTAGAACAAGCTTTCCTCAAACCAGCTGCTGGACATGATGAGTTGAACTGCATAATCTCTCCTCTTACCTTGGCCTTTTTTGGTCTAGGCGGCTGCAGTGAAGTGTACTTGATACAAAGTGTATCATTTTGCTCAGAGTATGTGAGAATCCATGTCACAGGATTCTAACCAGTGTCAAAATAAATGAATGAATGAATCACACCACCTAGTGGTAAACTTCAGAAATAAATGGTCTGCTTGTGTGTATACATTTGTTTTGTTAAATACATCTAGATGGTGTGATTCACCTTCAAATTGCCAGTTGACTTATGGAAGTCATACACCACTTTGGTTCACTGTTTGGTACACGCCACCTTGATTCTCTCTATCTGGAGAAAGGTGGGATAAATATAAAGAAAATAAATAGGAAATAAGAAGTTTAAAAGCCATTAAGACAAATATTACACTTGCTGTACAAACAAGCTCTACAGCAATGGTTCTCAACCTTTGTAATGCTGTAACTCCTTAAAATAGTTCATCATGTTGTGGTGACCCCCAACATTAAAATTATTTGTGTTGCTACTTCATAACTGTAATTTTGCTACTGTTATGAATCTTAATGTAAATATCTGATATGCAGGATGCACTTTCATTCACTGAACCAAATTTGGCATAAATACCCAATACACCCAAATTTGAATACTGGTAGGGTTGAGCCGGGATTGATTTTGTCATTTGGGAGTTGTAATTGCTGGGATTTATAGTTCACCTACAATCAAAGAGCAGAAAATACTGAAAGGTGAACTATAAATCCCAGCAACTACAACTGGAATGTTAGTTCACCTACATCCAGAGAGCAGGGGGAGGGCCTTTGGTGGGAGGGATTCATCATCTGTTTCCAAAAAGGAGGAGAAGGACAGACTGAGAGATCTTCAACCTTCTCTGCCAAAGGAGTTCCTAAGACCATCAGAAATGTTTGTTTTCTGATGGTCTTTGGTGATCTCTCTTAAACCCACTCATGACCCCCCCCCCTGGATCCTGACCCCCAGGTTGAGAAACACTGATCTACAGCAAGAACCTTAAATTACTAGCCCTTGTGACAGAATTCTGTTTATTATATGAATAATATAAAAGATCTAGCCCTAGCTCTGAGCCCAGAAGGGGAAGGCACTTTAGCATGCATCCTCACACAGGCACTTCTTGGAATGAATATGACATCTTAATACCCTGCATGGCTGGTGCCCCATAAGACAATGTAAGACCACACAAGACTGCAGACCACACATTTAACTGATTCTTCATCCTTTCCTCCTCTCCAAAAGATACCCACATATTCTTTTTATTTTATTTTCTCTTTTTTAAAAGGTCTGAATAGCCCATGGTTTTCCAGATATTGCCAGACTCCAATAACCATTAGTCTTAGCTGGTCAATGATGAGCAATCACCATAGTTTAAATTAATCACCCGCAATTTGTTAAATACAGATGATCATTTCCAAATCTGCCTGCATTTAATTTGTCAATTCACATGTGTGAGTTATGTTCCACATTCTGCAATCACATTCAAAGTTTCCCAGCAAAAGGAGTACAAAGGCTGAACAAGGAGTTCTAAAGGTCTCCATTGGCAGCTTTCCTATTTTCCAGTGGCAGTCACTGTGGGTGCTCAATTAATCACATTGGCATCCCATTCATTATCACAACTGCAAAAGTGTAAACATTAGCTGGTGCAAAGTACGACATCTTGTGGCCAGCTACAAAATGACAGGGGCATTTGGAGGCCCTTTTTGTGCCGGCAGGACTGCTGATTGAAAGGTCGGCGGTTCGAATCCAGGCAGCAGGATTAGCTCCCATCTGTCAGCTCCAGCTCCACATGTGGGGACATGAGAGAAGCCTCCCACAGGATGGTAAAACATCCGGATGTCTCCTGGGCAATGTCCCTGCAGATGGCCAATTCTCTAACACCAGAAGCAACTTGCAGTTTCTCAAGTCACCTCTTGATATGAAAAAAAAAACACTGGAGGCCTTGGAAACCTCTACAACAGTGCTACCCAAACTGGTGGCCCTTGGGCAAGTGCAGACTACCATTGGTTACCAGTCTATGGTGAGTTTCTAAAAAAGAATAAAACAAATACAGCCAATAGACACAAACAGACACAAATGTGATGCCAATCCCTAGCACCCAAATCAAAGAACCCACATCTCTCATGCTAAAATGCAGCGCTCTTAAATTTCCATCAGATGGGCTCTCAGTCGCAGTCAATGAAAGTTACACAGGTCACTTGTGGTATCTAGCCAATGAAATATTTAGTGTGTCTCTAGGCCCTTCTACACAGCCCTACATCCCAGAATATTAAGGCAGAAAATCCCACATTATCTGAGTGTGGACTCAGATAACCCAGTTCTAAGTAGATATTGTGAGATTTTCTGTGTGGAAGGGCCCTCTGCTGCTTCAAACAGATGTAGCTCACAAATGATTATTTAAAATCTTGCTCCATTGCAGTGTTTCTCAACCTGGGTGTCAGGACCCCTGGGGGGGGGGTCACGAGGTAGTGTCAGAGGGGTCGCCAAAGACCATCAGAAAACAGTATTTTCTGTTGGTCCTGGGGGTTCTGTGTGGGAAGTTTGGCCCAATTCTATCATTGGTGGGGTTCAGAATGCTCTTTGATTTTAGGTGAACTATAAATCCCAGCAACTACAACTCCCTAATGTCAAGGTCTGTTTTTCCCAAACTCCAACAGTGTTCATATTTGGACATACTGAGTATTTGTGCCAACTTTGGGGCAGATACATCATTGTTTGAGTCCACAGTGCTCGCTGAAGGCAGATGAACCTACAACTCCAAAACTCAAGGTTAATGGCCACCAAACCCTTACAGTATTTTCTGTTGGTCATGACAGTTCTGTGTGCCGAGTTTGATTCAATTCCATCATTGGTGAAGTTCAGAATGCTCTTTGATTATAGGTAAACTATAAATCCCAGCAACTACAACTCTCAAATGACAAAATCAATCACCGCCCAATGCGACCAGTATTTAAATTTGGGTATATTGGGTATTTGTGCCAAATTTGATCCAGTGAATGAAAATACAACCTGCATATCAGATGTTTACATTACAATTCATAACAGTAGCAAAATTATAGTTGTGAAGTAGCAACAAAAATAATTTAATGATTGGAGGCCACCACAACTTGAGGAACTGTATTGAGGGGTCATGGCATTAGGAAGGTTGAAAACCACTGCTCTATTGTATGGCCAGATGCTAGAAACCAAACAGGATATGGAAGCAACCTAGTCCTGCTGACTATATTCTGCAGATGATATATAGTTATGACATGAACACTAGAGGTAGACAGAATATTTCAAAATATTCCAAAAATAGGTTTTGTTTTTTTAAAAAAAAAAACCCATATAATTGGAGTATCCAAGAACCCTGAAAAGAAGAAGCCTGGGCAGATGAGAATCTACACAGTTGGGGAGTTATTCTATTCAGAATTTGCATGTGGTTATTTTGTACATAAAACAGCATTTTCTATTCATGAAAGCATTTTCTGTTTCAGTACAGAAATATCAATTCCTACACAAAAAGATGCTATTTTCTTAACAGAAAATAAGGAATTTGTTCTGTGAAAAGTTCACACACAATTGATTTGCTTATAAATCATTGTTTTCTGTAAAGAAAACTGCATTTCCACACAGGAATTAATATTTCTCCATCGAAACATTATTTTTCACAGAGAAAATGTTTCTTGCACATAAAACAATATTTTCTGCTCTAAATAGCCACATGCAAAAATTCCACCAAATAAGTATTAAATTATGAACAGTCTTTTGAAATGGAATGGTTTTTAAAACTTTTTTTTTACAGAGGAAAGGCAATAACTGAAATTACTATTTGCTACCTTTGAGAAGAAGGTATATATATAATGACGATCCCTAATGAAAACAATCATCTTGAGTTGCCCATTGGGGCTCCAACACCTCCATGTATTTCCCCTTCATTATGAAATAAAGACTTTGCTATTTCATGTTTTCACTAGAAATTGCTTCTCCATTTGGCAGAGGATTAGCTAAATGGACTAGGTTCATGTCAATATTGTCTGGTGTGGTTATATACAAATATTTTACTCATCTGAATCAGTTCACTTCCCTCACCCACCAACCCAATTCTGTTTGGCATTGTGGGCCTGAGTCTCCAAAGCCCAGCATCACTCACCTCGGCAAGTACTCCCCTCGCGGGTGATAGCCTGGCGACATATCCCACATGGCTTCACTTTCTTGAAGCTCTTCACTTTGAAAGTGTGTGACGTGGATGCTTCGAGGTCCTCAGGCTGCCGGAAGGAAGGGAAAAAGATACAATATTTTCAATAATAGCATAAGCCTCTTCCTTTCTAAACCAATTAACACAATATAATTATTTTGCTATTACTCTGTATTCATAATTAGGAAAGGTCAGGATTAACTGTTGATCACTTGGCAACCTCCATTAGGTCAAAAGCATCCCATGGTTTAATAACAGTGACAACAGAAAACCAATGAAGCTGCTGAAATCAATATGCATGCATATGTCAGCTATCAAAGTTTCCGACAAAGAAGCGCTTTTAATAAAGTCTTTTTCATGCTTGCCCATCTGTGCTTTTCCTTCTTGTCCATTGTCTAACTGGAGGATTTTCTAGCAGCATCAGCATTTGGAGGGATGGAGAAACACCAGGCTGTATCAGTTCCCTGGATGAAATAAGCAGAGCTTGAGATGGGAGAGAGAGGAATTGTATTCTAGCCAATCCTACTATAGCCCTGTGTGCCTGTCAATAAAAGGCAAGTAACCCGCAGCTGCCTTCTGAATTCCTGACAAAGCAAGCATTAACAGTAAAACAGAGAAAGCAGGAGAGGAGGTAATCCTCCCCATCAGCATTCCCCAACAAGTTCAAAAAGTACAAAGCTCTATGCTTGGACACTAGAATCGAAAAGCAGAGGTTGGTGAAAGGAAATGTCATATCTGAATACATATCTAAAGCTTTCAAATAATCTCTAGAAAATGCTTGAAAAGTGTTGTTTATCTCATCTGGTTGCTTCATTTCACATGTGAATATTGTTAGTTTTGAATAAAAAGTTTACTGAGAAGCATGGTAAGTGGCTCCCCCTTTTGTGATGTGGGAACACATCCCTATTCTTTCTGTGGTGCCAAATATGCCTGTGAACATATTTACTTCATTAAATTAGTTTTAGCTGGGCAAAGGAAGGAGGAAAGAGCAGTACATTTGTGTGCGGACAAATGTGGGGTCTATATTTTAGTTCTAGTTCTAAAAACAAACTTTCTGTGCTAAGTATGTACACAGAAATTCATTCTTCATTGTTAAATCCATTTTCCCAAACTATTAGATTGTTCCTGACTCTAATTAATGAACCTCGGGGGGGGGGGGGGCAGATCCTACAAGTCTGCCTCTTCATGATTTAAACCAGGCATGGGCAAACTTCGGCCTTCCAGGTGTTTTGGACTTCAACTTCCAGAAATCCCCGCCAGCTTACCCACTGTTAGGAATTGTGGGAGTTGAAGTCTAAAACACCTGGAGGGCCAAAGTTTGGCCATGCCTGATTTAGACCCTTCTTTTACAACTGATGGTGCATCCGTCTCACCTACAATATACTACTCTGTTGCAGGGTACTTCACAGCCAACAGCCCTCTGCAGAGACAGCAAGTGCAACATCTGGTATCAAAAGATCAGAACTGCCAAAATTGTCATACTTCTTAAGTTTAGAAAGTGGCCACTCCTTGGTGCATGTGTTGTGTGTGTTATGTGTTCCTTCATGATGCCTGTCAACATATGGTAACCCCATTAATTTCATAGGGTTTTCTTAGGCAGGGGGCACTCAGGTGGCTTTGCCAGTTTCTTCCTCTGAAATGTAGCCTATCTAGTATTTGCTAGCAGTCTCCCATCCAAATACTAACCAGGTTGATCCTGCTTAGCTTCCAAGGTCAGACAGGATCTGATACTGAAGTGAAATCTCCACAGACTTAGGTCAAATTCCTTTCTACCAGTCTGTGAAGCTACAGAATTATAGGTCTGGGAAATGAATGAGAAGGGCAATTGAAGGACACTTCAAATGTTGCATTTTGTACCAAGAAACACATTCTCCACATAGAAAATAACATACATAAGCATCAGATAGGCTCATGTGTGTAATTGTGGCTTTTGCCTGTGAGGCCCAAGTGTTTACCATGCCCCAGCTAGTATGTATTTTGCCCTTTGCAGCACTGTCTTAAAATGACACTGTGTGCATACAAATGTAAACAGACAGCACAGCCCGAGAGCATGTCATCAACCTTATGAACTTGTCCTATTTAACATCTGGTGGTGGCTGCTCAGTATCACTGCAGAGTTTTTTATTACATATAATAATAATGTTTTATCACCATCATCATCCACACCATCAGGTCTTCTTCCTGTTTTATGCATCTTGCCTTGGATACTCCAAAAGCAAGATGATTAATCAGGACTATACAACAACAAAGAGCTGACATTAAGCTCCTTTTTAAAGCGCTATAAAATCGTTCCATGTTTATGGCAGAGAGAGACTTGGCTTAAGATGGATAAGGGAGGGAGGGCAGCCTAGATAGGACAGCCTGCACCATTCACATATATAATGCAAAAAAAAACTTGATTTAAACATGAAAGGGGGCAAATAGGCAAGAAATAGCCACCTTCCCCTTATTCCTCTTCTGTCCCTCTTTACCTCTGCTGCTCTGCTATTTCAGGCATTTTTCTCCCATCTATCAAATGCACTGATAGATGTGAGTCAGTAGGATAAGGGGAGAAATGTCAATCAGGCACTAGAGTAAGATATAAGGCATGGTGGGAAGAGTGTTCAGCTCCTCTCATCCATATTGCTTTTCTTTATTGCAAAAATCACCTCCCACCCTCTGTGTGAATGAGGCAGACATATAAACAAGGCAAACAGACTTTCCCAGCCCTCCTCCTTGGCTCCTGGAAACTAGAATACCAAAGGTTTCTTCACTGCACCACTGGGTGTCAGTATCAGACATGAATCCATCAACAAAGTAAGTTCTGGGTCACAGACCATCTCATACAATCATTGCAGAATGAACTTTTATTTGCTTCTATAGCAAGCCTCCAGCTCCGTAGACCACAGTAAAGGTCCTTGTTCTGTGGTCCTGCTCATGTTAACAATTTTCATATGTGCTGACTTAAGCCTTTGCACATACTTTGATCTATATTTGTTTACTATGTATCAGCCAGCATGTCAATGACTTAAATCAAGAAATAGTTTTCTAAGATCTACAGAGACACTTGCTGGAACACCTCAGCAAGTGAGAGTCCAAAAGTGGCAGGCTCAAACCCAGAACCTCAATCAATGGCTGATACCAAATGAGAGACTCCCCTTGGGCACACAGAAAACTGGGTGACTTGGAAGGTGCTGAACAGACTGCGCTCTGGCACCACGAGATGCAGAGCCAACCTCAAGAAATGGGGCTACAAAGTGGAATCCACGACATGCGAGTGTGGAGAAGAGCAAACTACAGACCACCTGCTGCAATGCAACCTGAGCCCTGCTACATGCACAATGGAGGACCTCCTTGCAGCAACACCAGAGGCACTCCAAGTGGCCAGATACTGGTCAAAGGACATTTAATCAACTACCAAGCTTGCAAACTTTGTGTTTTGTTTGTTTGTTTGTTTAAAAATGCATACAACTGTTTGGTCTGCTCCTGACACGATAAATAAATAATTACTATATATACTCATATATAAATCAACTTCATGTATAAATTAAGGACAGGTTTTGGGGGCAAAAACTACAGATTGTGCTATGACCTGTGGATAAGCTGAGATAGAATCATAGAGTTGGAAGAGACCTCATGGGCCATCCAGTCCAACCCTCTGCCAAGAAGCAGGAAAATCATAGGACCCCTGACAAGGCCATCCAGCCTCTGTTTAAAAGCCTCTAAAGAAGGAGCCTCCACCACACTCCAGGGCAGAGAGTTTCACTACAGCTCTCAGGGTTAGGAAGCTTTTCCTAATGTTCAGGAGAATTTTCCTTTCCTGTAGTTTGAAGCCACTGCTCCATTGCATCCTAGTCTCCAGGGCAGCAGAAAACAAGCCTGCTCCCTCCTCTTTATGACTTCCCCTCACATATTTATACATTACCCTCACCATGACTCCTCTCAGCCTTCTCTTCTGCAGGCTAAACATGCCCAGCTCTTTAAGCTGCTCCTAATAGGGCTTGTTCTCCAAACCCTTGATCATTTTCGTCGCCCTCCTGTGGATATGTTCCAGCTTGTCAACAATTGCGGTGCCCAGAACTGGACACAGTATTCCAGGTGTGGTCTGACCAAGGCAGACTAGAGGGGTAGCATGACTTCTCTGGATCTAGACACTATACTCCTATTTATGTAGGCCAAAATCCCATTGACTTTTAGATCATTCCATGAAGAGAATAAAGCACCAATGTTGCCTCAGGGTGGCAGTCATCCTTGGCTGCCACCATTTTCCTGGCCAGGCATTCAAGAAGGGCAGATGTGGTGCCATGGTGAAGAGAGTATTGGGGATCAGTGCTTGTTTCCCTGGGATAAACTAAGGTCTTGCCTTGTGACAGAAGGGAACAGTTCCTTTTTTGAGAGGAGTTAAGGTATAATACTTACATTGACCCATTGATAAGTTGACCCAGATTTATTTTGCTTGTGTGTTGATTATTTTTACTAAAATTTCTAGAGTTATACATGAGTTCATAGCAGGCATAGGCAAGCTTAAGGAATTGTGGGAGTTGAAGTCCAAGACGCCTGGAGGGCCTAATGTTTGTCCATACCTGGTATATAGCATAATGTTTGTAAGCCATCCTGAGCCTCAGTTTTGGGGAAACGGTAAGATCTAAAATAATTACTAACAACAAAAGCATGAACGGCAATTAATAATGGATGGAATTTATAAACAAATTATGTATAACCTAGAGATGTGCATTTGTACATTACTTGTACTCACAATCTCCATTTATTCAATAGTGTAGGGAATATGTAGGGATTGAAAAAGTATTTATTTACCAGGTAGCAGTTGTTGCAAACTACAAGATCCACAAATACTTTTGGGGGCTTTTTTAAGAGCATGGATAAGTGAAATGGGCTATCAAATCCATCACTAAGGGGATTGCACCGTATTCTAAAAACTTCCTCTCTATATCTTGTTAGAAAGGACCCTTTTTAATATTCACAAAGTTAAGGTTTTGACCACTTTTCTGCCAGCATTGAGATTTTCAGACTTCCTGCTTCCCTCTACATCTGTCTCTGTCCCCACAAACCTATTTCAGAGGGTTTACAAGT